GTGTGTGTGTGTGTGTGTGTGTGTGTGTGTGTGTGTGTGTGTGTGTGCAGGGTTCCCAGAAAGAGCTGCTGAACCTCTCCCAGCAGGATTACGCCAACCGCATCGAGGAGCTGAACCAGTCCCTGAAGGAGGCCTGGGCCTCGGATCAGAAGGTCAAAGCCCTGAAGATCGTCATCCAGGTAACCCAGCAGTTGAAAACACACCAAAAATAATGGAGAGAAAAACCTTCATGCTCCTTCAGTCACATTAACCACCTCTCTCACCTCTGGATATAAGAAAAAAAAAAAACATAAACGCTGATCTGCGATCTGTTTTCCAAGTGCTCGAAGCTTCTGTCCGACACCTCCGTGATCCAGTTCTACCCCAGCAAGTTTGTCCTCATTACTGATATCCTCGACACTTTCGGTGCGTAAAGAACACCTCGTATCTCTCAGTTCAGAAAAGAAAACAATAAAAAAGACATTGCTAGTTGTCTGACTGCAGTCTCACTTGTCTGTAGGCCGGCTGGTGTACGACAGAATCTGGACCATGTGTTCAGACCCACGACCGCTACCGGGTACGTGGAGAAGACTCTCGAAAAATCCAGTCAAACCTTTTTTTTTTTTTTTTTTTTTTTTTTTCAAGCTTCTGAGGTGATGGATGTATTGTCCGTGTCTGTCTCTGTCTCCCTCCTCAGACTCATTCACAGTCGACGACGTGAACGACACGGCCAAGGAGACGTGCCTCAACTGGTTCTTCAAGATCGCGTCCATCAGAGAGCTCCTGCCCAGATTGTATCCTTTTCCCCCCCATCAGCAGCAGTGTGTCACAGCTTAAATCTGCTGATATATCAGTTTGTCAGAGAGTATCTTCTCATAACACCACATCTTACGTTTGTCTCCGTGACATCCCTCGATCGTCAAAGACACGCTCCTTACCTCGTGTAGAAATTTGACTCTTTGACCGCTGCGAACAGATACGTCGAGGCTGCCATTCTCAAGTGCAACCGCTTCATGAACAAATGGTTTGTTTTTTTTCCCTTTCAGATCTACGCACAATGCGTTTAGCTTCAATGTTCTTTTGGTATTCTGCCTTTACTTGCTCCAATTCTTCAGTTCAGCAATGTTAGATTTGTATCTGATCCATCAGAATTACCCTTTGGATGGTGATTTGAAAGATTTGGGGATATATTTGTTACAACGGACCAACAAAGTAGTCCCTTTCTGTCCCTCCACCCTTCACAGCGGGATTCAGGAGACGCTCCCTCGGTTGACGGCGATGATCAGAGGGATCGGAGACCCCTTGGTGGCGGCGTACGCCAGAGCTTACCTCTGCAGGGTGAGACATGCTCACGTCTTTCAATTTTTCTCTCCTGATTCTGAGCACCCCCCTCGGCAGTCTGGGCCCAGAGGTAACAGTGCTCTCTCCCTCCAGGTGGGCATGGAAGTCGCCCCCCACCTGAAGGACAGCCTGAACCGCAACTTCTTCGACCTGCTGGGCGCCTTCCGGCAGATCAGCAGTGAGAGCGTCCAGAACCAGCTGGTCCTGCAGAGGGTGGAGGTGCCCGAGTACCTGACGCTTTATTCGCCCGCCATCAACTGGATCCTGCAGTGCATCGCCTACAGAGCTCCAGAGGCATGCAGTCACACACCGTTTTACTTGAACTTATTTAGCTTCATTTTTTCAAACCTAAAGATATAAAATAGCGGTGTTTTCAGTGGGAAAAGTCAGGCTCAGTCAAAACCCTTATATAGACGGAGGCACGTGTGTTTTTAATGCTGTTTGTTTTTCCACGTCAGCCTCTGCTAACGGAGATGATGGAGAGATGCAAGAAGCTGGGGAACAAGTGAGTGCTTTTAAAGACACTGTCATAATGAGGTGGATTTCATTGGGAGGCTTCTTTCCTGTTGGTGAAAGGTAACGTGCTTCTGAACAGGAAGTACACGTCTTCATTCTCCTCAGGAGCGAAATATATATTTTGATGTGTATAGTCTTTCTACCTCATGTCAGATTGAATCAAATATTGGAAGATTTATATTTGTCTTTCTGATCCGTTATATCGTACGATGATCAACAGGAAAAAAAACATTTTTCAAACTTATATAACGTTTATTTTTTTGACGATTCAAACAATTGGGAACCAGTTCTTAAAAATCCGTTTTAATTAACAGAAGAAGAACACAATGCACTCACCAAAAGTTTTACACAGCTTTTACTCGAGTGTTTCAATAGTTTCTGGTTTCGGTGAAATAAAATGTCCCTTTAACCTCAAAGATTACAACGTGTTCCCGTTTCCCCCATAGTGCTTTGCTGCTGAATTCAGTCATGAGGGCGTTCAGGCCAGAGTTTGTCGCGGCCAGAGCCACCGACTTCATCGGGATGATCAAAGACTGCGACGAGGCCGGCTTCCCAAAGGTCAGAGGGCATGAACACGTGTAATACGCTGGTCCAGTAAATGTAAATATGTGAAGGGATATTACAGCAAACCTTGGGAGGTTATGAAATTGAAGTCTCCTGTCCCAATGAGGTGTGGGTTTAAGTAGTCTAAATGTGCTTAGAATATAAATTGGAAGCTTGATTGTCGTCGTCTCTCCAGCATCTGTTGTTTGGATCTCTGGGTCGCAGTCTGGCCTGTGCCGACCCCCCAGAATCGGAAAGGCTGACGATCCTCAATGAAGCCTGGAAGGTCGTCACCAAAGTCCGCAGCCCCCAGGTACTGTAGGAATGACAATGCTGCTTTCACACAGGCGTGCACATTCAGGTTATGACTGTGACTGTTTCTTGTATTTAGGATTACGTCAACTGTGCCGAGATCTGGGTGGAGTTCACCTGCCGACACTTCTCCGTGAGTAAAGCGCCGCAGGGAGGAGGAGTTGTAACACCTTTTGTTCCTTAAAGTTCACCTTTTCTTTAATTCTTTTTTTTGTCTCTTGGCTCTCAGAAACGTGAGGTTAACACCGTTCTGGCTGACGTCATCAAACACATGACCCCTGACCGGGCGTTTGAGGATGCTTATCCTCAGGTTAGCAGCTCATTGGCTAACGGAAGCATTCTGCCTCCTCCTGCCATGTGCTCTGTGGTGACTCTTGTCTTGTCTTGTTCCTCCTCCAGCTGCAGTCAGTGATCAGGAAGATCCTCACCTACTTCTACGACTTCTCCGTCCTCTTCTCCATGGTGAGCGACCGCCTCTTCAAGATACGCACCGCCAACAAGTTTGCATTCTGGAGGCCTGAAATAAGCGGCCTTCATCGTGCCACAGTTCCACAATGTCCCCCTGATTTTTCCTGTTCCCCAGGAGCGCTTCCTGCCGTTTCTAGACATGTTCCAGAAGGACAGTGTGAGGGTAGAGGTGTGTAGATCCATCATGGAGATCTTCATCAGGTAAGAGCCACCTCAGAGACAGAGTTTGATGAATGAGATTTATCTGCTTTGTGACAAAAAAAAAAAAAAATTACAAATGTTGGACTTCTAATTGGTGTCCGTCTGCTGCAGACACCAAGAAGAGCCCACCAGGGACCCGGTTATCCTAAACGCCATGTTGCACATCTGCAAGACCATGCACGACTCTGTCAAGTAGGGTGTGTGTGTGTGTGTGTGTGTGTGAGAGATATACTTAGAATTACCTCTGTAGCTGTTGTCTGTTAGGGGCTCGGGAATTTGTTATTTTGTCATTATTTCAATAATAATTTAGATTTTAGTTATTTTCAGTGATTTTAAACACCTTGTTTTCTTCTTAGTTTCAGTTCTTTAAACGTAGATTGTAAACATGGAGAGATATTTCATCTGCCGTCTGTCGACCCGCCCGGCAGCAGCCTTCACTCGGTCAGCTGTTTGCTCTCTGTATTGCAGCGCTCTCACTCTGGAGGACGAGAAAAGATCTCTGGCTCTGCTGATCATCGGCTTCATCCGCATGGTGAGACTCCTCAGACCTTTGTCTGTGCTTTAGAAGTAAGGCCGGTGTTATGTTGTTCACGGTCAACAAAACTATTCATTAGTAACTCTTACAGTAACATTACTAAATGGTTTATTTTTTTAGAGGTTAAATGATTTCCTTAAAAACGCTGGTGGCGTGGTAGTGTTTAGGAAACGTTACCCAATCAGTAGGAAATAGCGTATTTGTTGGGGACTATTTTCAGCTGCAGATTAATACACATTTGGAGCTCTTGTGAATATTCCTGGCAGCAGGACAGTGTACGTGGGATTGAATCAAATAAATTACAAAGCCCACGTTCATGGAAATGAAGAAACCTGTCACTCAGTACACATTTAACATATTTTTAAAACAATGAAACTCTATGGAGCACCTTGGTGGCCAAGTGGTTACAGTGCACGCTTATAACTGCAATGTTGCATGTCACACCCCCTCGCTCTCTGGCCCCCATCGCTACACTGTCGTCTGTCAAATATAGGTGAAAATGCCCCCGACCCCCCCAAAAAAAAAAAAAAATCTTGAAAAGAAACTAATGGAGCTATATCGCGTAAAGGAGTAAAGGAGTAAACTACACCGATAAATATTTATTTTGAGCTCTAAATGTTTGGAAAATGTTGTGATTTTTGACCAATGCAACAGTCAATTCATGACTATCTTTGAGTAAATCTGTAAGAACTCTTTTCTCTCTTCTTGACACTCACACATTCTGTCTGTGTGTCCGTCATCGTGTTCAGGTTTCTTTTGGTCGAGACTTCGAGCAGCAGTTGAGTTTCTGTGTGGAGGCGCGAGCCACCTTCTGTAACCTGGAGTCGGTGCTGGTGCAGCTCATTCACGTCAGTATAAATCCATGTGTGCGTGTTCCAACATTCATGCACACGCACGCAGCATCCTCATTGTTCTCCCTGTCGTTTCCTAGACGGTGAACCAGCTGGCGATGGAGACCAGTAGGGTGATGAGAGGGAGTCACTCCCGCAAAACGGCGGCCTTCGTCAGGGTGAGTGGACACGCGCGGCATCTGATCACTGCAGGCCACCGTGAGATCCCACGGGATGAGATTTCAGCCGTGGCCGAGTAACGTCGGCTTCAGATGTCGGATGCTTTGACTCAAGGACTCTTATCGTTCCCCTTTCCTCCAGGCGTGCGCTGCCTACAGCTTCATCACCATCCCGTCTCTCAGCAGCATCTTCAGCCGTCTCAGCCTTTATTTGCTGTCCGGTCAGGTTGCGTTGGCAAATCAGTGTCTCTCCCAGGGTGAGCAGCTGCTTCCTTTCAAATTTTACACGAGGTGTAAGAATTCAGGGCACATTCAATTTCAGGTCAATTTTCAGCAATTCTTCACGTTCTTTTTTTTGTCCTCTCCAATCCTTTCCTCTCTTCCTTCTTTATTTTCTCTCTTCTTTTTTATTGTTCCCTCCCGTCCTCGTTCATTCCTTGCTGCCTCCTCCCTCTCTCTTTTCCCTCTCTCCGTCCTTCTTTCCGCACCTCCAGCGGATGCTTTCCTAAAAGCAGCGGTCAGTCTTCTTCCGGAGGTTCCTCGCTCCATCAGCGTGGAGGGGAAACATCGCTCTTCTGAGAGCTTCCTGCTGGACTTCATCAACAACTTCCTGGCTACGCTGCTGGTTGTCCCGGTAAACACAATCCCTTCCTCAGCCTTTTTAGAAGAGAAATATGAGGAAAGTCAAAGCAAGGAAACAAACAGCTCAGTTAGGAGTTCTGATGTGAGTCGAAGAAGATGAAGTACCAAACCAGCAGCCCAACATGTGCATGTGTCTGAATGTGTTTTCAGGACCATCCGGAGCATGGCGTGCTCTACCTAGTCCGCGGTTTGCTCAACATGGTGCAGGATTACACCTGGGAGGACAACAGTGACGCCAAGGTGCGGGTGTACATCAGCGCTCTGCCCCTGCTGGCTGCCATGAGCCAAGAAACATACCTCTACTCCATCCCTAAAGGTACATGTACACACACAGCGTCGTTAGAATATCTCAGATACAGTGGAATCCAAATTACTGCCCGTGTTTGTTTTCTTTTTTACTAAAAGACAAATCAACCAACACTGTTACTGTTCCACTTTTTTTGCAAGTTGTAGTGTTTTGTAGAGGGATTTTCTGTGAGTGTTTTTTCAGCTAAATTTCTCTTTTTCGTCGTTCCTGGTCCCAGTCGACTCCAATGAGACACTTTACGGAGGAGACCCCAAGTTTCTATCGGAGATCAACAAGCTGTGTGAGACTCTGATCGGACAGATCCTGGACCATCTGAAGACCCTCTGTCGGGACGAGGTGAGGCAGAAAGCGGCTCACTGCCACCAGCAAGACGGTTTTCTTTTTTTCTCATGCTGCACTTTAATTTTCCTCAGAAGCTGATTTCTATCTAATAACGAAAACACCACCATCGTTTTGCCCTCTTGCAGCAGAGCACACGGCGTCAAGGTGCCATGGCCTTTTCCCTGTTCGGTGTCCTGCTGGCTCATGGGGACCTGAGGAACAACAAGCTGAGCCAGCTGGCCGTCAACCTGTGGAACCTCAGCCACAAACACGGACACTGTGAGACTCGAGTCTCAGTGAGTTCACACCCACACCTCCAACACATTCACCAGATTCCTCAAGCAGCTGCACCCAGAACTCTTTGAATGTTTTCTGCACTTGGTCCAGATTACGGTCTCATTCATTTCAGTGAACGGTGCTTCGTGTGAATGCAGCCTGTCTCCTCTCTCTGTTCCAGGTCAGAACCCTTGAGTACATCAAACACCAGGCTCAGCAGGCTGACATGACCCACCTGTCAGATACAGTCCAGAGGCTGGCCCTTCAGTCCTGCACCTGAACGTCAGCCTCCGCAACCTCTGCAGAATGTTTGTGTAAATAAAAGATAACCAGAAGCACAAAGAAGAAGAAAACATGCCTGAATGTATTTTGCTTTGTGGATTTTTTGGTGCATTTTAGCACTAAAAAACAATTGGTTTGGACCAATATATAATAAAAACAATAATTGTAGACTGAAGTTACAGAAAGAGGGTCTTGTGCCACAAGTCCTTGTTTATACCATTTTGAAGCCTAACAATAGGAACTACTTGCACACTGTTATAGAACAATTAAATATATGTGTGTATGTGTATGTGTGTGTGTGTAGATTATATTATCTTATAAGACTAAAATGTGTTCTGTGTTATGTCCATACAGGTGCTTATGGGAACCTATCTCTTCTGCTGGACTAATTGTGAGGTTACCAGATGACACCACAACAGAGTAGCTTTAACTGTTTCGTGTTCTTCTGAGAATGGAACCTCTTCCAGCCATGTTAATGGCTGTGAACTGCAGTAGATAAACTAACTGTTGTAGATAGTGGAACTGCTATTAAAACTAAATGCAAAACATGCAAATGCCTCGTGGTCCACACGGCTACCCGATGCATCAACATGTCTTCTCTGTCTCCGATGGACCTATCCTTTCATTTTGTGTCTCTTGCAGTAGAATGCCTCACTTCTCTCTATTCACTTCTCTCAACAACTGTGCAAACATGAACAATACATGTCTATAGCTTCAGGGTTCACAGTAATTAACAAGTTAAATGATAAAGATTTTGAATTGTAACTACTTTACTCTGTATTTTTATTCAATAACAAATGCACTCATCACTTATCCATCTTGCAAAAGCACATTCTGGTCATGTGACAAATCCAATCTGGATCATGTTTCAATTGTTGCAGAACTTCCCTGTTATATTCTATAACTATAGCTTATAAAACAATAAGCTCCCAGTTGGCCTAAAAATATTACAACAGGGGTTTAATTAAAGGTTAAACAACTAGAATACAACTGAATTTGTGAATGTATTGAAACACATCAGTATGGATGTATCTTTTTTGATTTGTTGTGTACAAGCTGACGTACCAATGTGTTGCTATTAAGTATCTTATGAACTTATTGTTTTTTTTGTATATTTTCTTTAATCCTACATTCAAACATACTACATCCTATTAACCCATGCACTTTGTTTATGCACACCATGAAGCCAGACAAAAAAAGGACAGGACAATATATGTTTCAAGACATTCTCAAACTCTTCTCAGTTGTAGTTTATTTACTTAATTAGTGAATCAAGGTGAATGACAAGGCAAACACTCCTTTAGTAAAAACGAAAAAATATTATCAAAAACAAAAGCAAACAGCTGTAATGTCAGACAGGCCTTTTTTTTTTTTTTTTCTACTGCCAGACAATTAAAGGAGAATTCTAACAAAACTGATTTTCAGGTTGGCAAAAAAAAAAAAAAAAAAAAAAAAAAGATGTGACAATCGACACTGAATAATAAAACTCTTGGTATGTGAGTAGAAGGGCATGTTCTGTCATATTGTTTGACGGATGGATGTCTTGGGAAATGTGTACTGTTGAGCAACCTGAAAGTCAATTGTTCTTGGATGAGCCTTTAGACGGTAGGCCGCTGTGATTTAACGGAGAGCCGATCAGGAGAAATGGGACTTATCATGACTGAGACAATACTGTTAAAGCGGAGTCTTTAAATATGTATTTGCATTTGTAGTTCTTCAATCTTTGGTGACTGCTGCCGTTAACCCTTTGACTGCCACGTCGCTGGTCTCTTTCTCTGCATCTTCAACATTAGACAGACGTAATCACAGCAGAGTGCATTGACAACTCAACACCATTCTATCCGTCCCTCTGTACAGCATGCCAAAATGGCCAATATTAAAGCTTATGAAACAAATAATGTAAATAAATGAGTAAAAAGTTTAAAAAGGACCCAAATAACCTGTTATGTATTCAACAGCTAATATTCATGGAATTTTTTCATCCTTTGTTTCAGTGACGTTGTTTTCCTCATTAATATAGGAACCCTAGAATAATATTCCCTAAACATCAGTTCACTTTTACCAATAAATGATCTTGTATATTTAAATGCTTTACTCTACATATTCAAACTTATCTTTTTCATCATTTCTTATTTAGTATTGGTCACTTTGGTGTTCAGTCCCACACAGAAGTAAATAAACATTACTCTAAACCTGGACTTTCCTACTATTAAGTTTAAATTGGACTTCAAGGGGGGGTGGGGGATGTGACCCCCCTTTAAGATTATCTGGAGCACAGTTAGGTCTTTTTACCTAAAATTTGAATCCTGAAACTGACCAGACCTGGACTGATCGAATGTCCCTACAAGGACAAAAAGATGCTGAAGATTGAAATATGTGAGAAAAGAAAGCTGTGAAGAGGAACGAGCAGAGCGAGAGTGTTCTGGGCTGACAATAGCTGCTGATGAACAGCAGCTATTGTTTAAAAATCACACTTCTGATTGTGCACTGGCTGAACTGATGTTGGGGCTACTGATCCACAGGGGGGGGAAAAAAAAAAAAAAAAACAGAAAGCGACTAAAGACTAAATCAGAAACAGTAAACAGCTGGTTTAAATATTAGCATTTTGTAACATAAGCGAAATGCACTCCAACTCGTTTGCATTTTCAAAGATCACTTTACAGACTTGAACGCTTTGACTTTTTATTTTTCACAGCGAAATGCAGACAGGAAGCCAGCGCCGACAAACAGGAGGTGCTTTAAACTCCTCACTGCTGGAAAGTTTGACTTGGCAACTGTAAAAGAACAGAAACATAATAAAAAGCCAAAAATGGGATTATTATTTATTTTTTTTTCCACACAATTCCTCTTGGGGATGCAAACGGCAGCAGTTCAGTAAGTGCACAGTAAAAAGTGGGACCTCTACAATGGAGCTATTAGACGTCTGTATACAGACAGCTCTATGTCTGCAGTAATCCACTGAAATAGAAATGACCGCCACCACTATGATCTGTGGGTTTGTTTGGTTGAGATTCAAGGTTCAAGATGACCTCCGATAGTGACTTTGTTGTCTTTTTGTCCATACTGCTCAAGGACAAAGAGATGAGAAACTGTAAGACGGCATCGACTACAAGTATTCAAATTTACTACCGAAAGAAGAGACTTTCAACAAGAACGTTGCTGAAAACTGCAACAGCAGCAGGGCTCTGATCGAGCTCCGTGCGGCTGTCTGGCAAACAAAACAGTTAAATACTTGTAGCGAGTTGAGTTGACTAAACCATCTTCTAATGACGTCATCGTCATCATTATGAAGACGGTGTTCTGGTGACTCTACCCTCTCCATCGGGAGACTCTAACCTTCCCCATCTCTTTGGAGCAAGTTGCCACAGGGAGAGGGCAGTTTGTTATCGCTCGTTTAACAATCATACACCCTACACAGAGAGCAAGAGTCCCACACTAACAAAAGTAATGATTCAAAGAAAACAATAGTATAACCTTACAATAATGCAACACGGGAAGAGGTTGCAGTTTGGCGCAGTCAGTCCCGGCACTGCTCAGAGGGATGTTTTGGCAGCCTGATACTTGCTCTGATTTTAAGACTGGGAAGGGTTATTTTTTTGGAGACGGCACGCCTCTGAAAACACGGACCGGTGCCATCGCCCAACCCTTTGTTGTGGAGGTGAAGGAGGGAGGCGGCGTGGTCTTCCTCCCTTTGTGTGTGTGTGTGTGTTCGTTTGTTCTCTTTGTCCTGGAGCCGGCTCAGTCCAGCTCTATGGGGCTGCTGTCCTCCTGGGCTTCTTCAGCCGTGTCGTCGTCCTCGCCCGAACCCATCAGGCTGTTCAGCAGGTTCCCTGCAGGACACGACACAGTGATCATCACGCTGTGCATACAATCATTTACACTGTACAGCAGCACTTTGTGCAGAGATCTTCTTCAAAAGTCTGTTTAGATATCATGTGTAGCATTTGAAAAGGACTAGTTACACACATTGCATTGCAGACGGATATGAGAAGATTGATAGTACTCTCATGTCTGTAGTGAAATATATACAGCTTGAGCTAGCAGCCAGTTAGCTTAGTTTAGCATAAAGACTGGAAGTTAGGGTTCCCCCAGTCCAGCTAGCCGACACTACAAACTCACATCTCCACTTGTTGCCTACTTGACAACAAGACGAAAGGAAGTCGCTTCATCCAGATAATATTTAGCTCCATATTTTCTGTACAGACATGAGTGGTGTCCATCTTCCATCTACCGTTTAGCAAGTCAGCGAATGAACATATTTCCCAAACTAATCATTTAATGTCTTTAATAAACCATCATACGTTTGTGTATTTAATAAATTGAATGCAGCACACCTGATCTGTGATACCTGAGGGGTTGAAACGTGTGATTCAACAGTGATGAGATCATACAGGGAGCTAAAAGTAGTTAATCTTACAGATGATCAGTAATTTATGTGAAAATAATCTGCTCTAACGTACAGAGTCTTGGTTCACTCACCTAGCAGTCCACCGTATGATGGCGACTGTTTGGGTGGAACACCAAAGAAAACTTGTCCTATTCTGTCGAGATACTGAGGAGCCAGGAAGTTGTCCAGAGGAGGAGGTAGAGGAAGACAGGGTTGTGAATAAGAGAGGTTGCAAAACTACAGACGAAGACATGTTTACATCTTGTTACGTCCCCGTCTAGTCTACAGCTAAGGGAGGAACATATGCCGGCTAAAGGCCACAGAAAATGCACAATAAAATAGCAGCACAAATACACAACTACGGATAAAGCGCGACTGACAATATTAAGGGAACGGCCTCGACTGGTAAAAACAATCCCACTTACTTAAATGTACAGCTATTTAGCTAAACCCCAAAACAAAAGACAATATAGGTATAACAAAGACTTGCCCATCTATATCACTTAAAGAAATAATATACAGCACACTGAAGTACAACTGAAATATTCCATCACAACACATATAAGACATAATTATTTAACCATTATACACACGGTGAAGTCCCTTTACTTAATGCGTGATTCATGGGAGGAAGTAGCTGACCATCAAGCAGTATGTTTAACACTCACCTCATTATACATGGGGTCCCTCTTCAGGGAAGGTTGATATTGCTCACATAACACTGTGAAAACTGTTAATTTACCCCTAAAGAAACAAAGAGAAGGAGGCTTTCTGATACTGTACATTATTACACTCAAACAAGTTACTGCAGTAAAGTACTGGAAGAACAAGCTCAGCAGTGGTTCAGACACTGTTGTATACTTTAGCCTCACTACATGAAGTCTATAGTTGGCTTTGTTCAAATGGGATTAGTGCTGCAGTAGGAAGTCAGCTAATGCTAGCTGAGGTGTCTGTACAGATATCCGATAGAATAATACATCATCACAAGACATTAAGGTCATAATTCTACATTAACAATATATCATAAATGTATCTATACCTAGGGTCTTGAGTGTTAACACAATAAATCAAACTTACCCATCCACTGCCAGCAGCAGAAACCAAATAAAGTTTAGTAGAGGCTGGACGAAGGGAGGGCCCTTCTCTATGGACGGGTGTTTCTCTGTGTACGTGCTGAACACCACAGAAGCGCCGTTTTTGTTCTTTAAGCAGAGGAACCTGTAGGGCGGAGGATCAGAGAAGAGAAGGACAGAAATAGAGGACAAAGACAATAGGAGAAGATGGGAAAGAAAATGTGACACGGAAGATGGAGAGAGCGAGAGAGAAAACCAGAGACACAGAGAGATCAAACACTTGAAAGAAACTGCAGACAGACAACGGATATGACAAACATACTGAGGAGGATGCATCAATACCACTCTCTCCGCTGCGTGTACAGAGTCGGAATACTACACCTTAAATCCAACAAATAGTTACATTTGCTGACATGGAAAGTCATTTAAACTTTTACATTGCGACGATGTCAAAAACAAACATTGGCGTTTGACTTACTGTAGGACGGCCTGCGCCACAAACATGTCGACCTCGCTGCGGAAGCCTCGTGACGCCGAATACTCCACCAGCATCTGTGCACAGCCCTCACCGTCAGACGAATGTAGGAAGTGGTAACGGGACTCACTGTAGTTTTGCTCTGGAGTCACAACAGTTGAAGGATTGAATATAGAACAATGTTAAGATATTAACTGGCAGCTTGCACATTGGGAACAATATTATGGGCGCCAAACATCCATGGCACACACCGAATACAGTATACGGTACAGAAGAATTAGTACAGAAGCTGGGAATCGCCTCGTCACTCTTACTCCGGCCTGCTGGGAACGCAGTGACCGGAGGAGCACTTCAACCTCTCGGTTAGCGTACAGCACAAAGTCGCTTCATTAAAGCAGCACAATTCCTCTGTCACACTTGGAGGCTTCCAACGCACGTCTTTTCGAACAACATTGCTTCATGAGGAGTCCACACGCGCCGTTTTTACGCCTCTTCTGGACACCTCTGTTCGCGCTCAGCGTCTCTTCATCCCTCAGTGCGTGCGGGAGTGTAGACCTTACCCCCTAAACGGCGTTGTTTCGAGGCTGCTGTCTGCCAGGCATTGCCCTTTGTGCCTGTGTGTAACGCAGCCTGCTGGGGATTCCACTTGGCCCTTTCGGCCTGAGCCCCCCATGGATTACGCTCCGACACATGCACCAGCGACGAACGCTCTGGCTTGGCTTGTCTCCATGACATGACCCGGGGAGGACTCCGCCAGACGTTTCTGCGTTGTCAGCTGAGATGGACAGCATAGCGCTGCAACACGCGTATTTTGCTTTAATTAAACGGCATTGATTTTGAGTATTCCGTTAATCTTTAATATGGTGGTTTGTATTTTTTTATTGAATAAGAAGCATTTTCGAAAAGGTTTAGTGTGTTTGATGCTTGTTTGAAATCCAGAGCTGTTATGAATACCAAAATCAAAAACCTAACACTACACAATTAGAATGACAATGCGTTATTATCCTCTACATTTAATGAACTAAATAATTACCTTTCCACAAGGTGACAGCTAGCAGCTGGTGTAGTTTTGGGTGACCCAACTTGCCGGGACCTCCTGTGGACCATTTCAAGGCTCTGGACACAAATGCGACTCTCTCTGGAGAGTTCTGGTCCATCCGGCTGAACAGCTTAGCCAGGCTTTCTGCAACAATCACATATGCAAACACACACAACCCCAACAGCATCAGAGGATGTCCCTTCTATGCCCCTCCGTGTGAAAGGCGGTGTTCTCTGAACATCCTGACAATTTAATGCTGCAGTATTTATGAAAAAGGTATCACTTTACAGACTAGAGCTGTCCCAAAGAAATCCAGCACATCTCTAACAGTATCAAGGCCAATCAATAGTGGATCTGTATTGGCTATGTATGTAAAGCCCAATCCATCACCAACTGCGATCTGGGTATGCCAGCTGTCAAAAATGCCTCATTGTATTAAAAGACTGGTACTGATTGATCAGGACATACCACTGTAAATAATGTATATTTTTTAATGTACAGAATATCTTCATACATTTCATTTGTCTTGTCAAACAATATTCACTTCCACAAAAAGCTGAATTGTATCTTTCAGAGGCAATTTTGAAAATTCTAAATGCATGTGCTTCTTATTTGTGTAGATCTTGCTTTGGAAGGTACTGTATGGATGTTTAACAATAGCGCAGTAGCAATACGATGGCAATGGCTTAAGGCTGCCACTCACCTAATATTTCATCTTCGACTTTTGTCTCAGATTTCTCCAACACCTCCAGTACCAGCATGGACAGGTCTGCTGCACTGTTTTGCTGTAGATGAAAACACAATTAAGTGCATCTTTGATTCCATCATTTCTAAAGAATTGGATATTTTTGCAAAAGCAATTGGTGGATGGGAGAATAAGCTTAATCAATCATGAATTCATCACCCAACTAGCAAACTGGCATCTAACGGATTCCTGGCTTCATTTACAAGCACAATGAATTCTGTCTGGATGCTTACATTACACTACTACTCTAAAAACAAAGTGTATTCATAGTGTGACCAGTAATAATCTGATGTCAACATCAGCATTCTGCACACAAAGATGGACTCCATGCAAAAGTTACATTCTTACATGTGCCGTTTCACTTGTGAATCACAAGCTTATAGATACTACTCTGGTATTACAACTATACTAAAGTAGAAAATAAATACTGTCAATCAACAATACTGCTTTAAACCATAATATTATCGTTCCCCTATCTGCTATGTGTACATAAACAATGTGGGCACTTTAAAAGCAAAACCTGCCATGGGACATAACAGGCCAGCTAATCGAGCAGAGATCGCGTGCAGCATTTATACCTGGTTGTAGCTGAAGAAAAGTAGAGCGCCGTTGTGCATCAGCTCCCTGGCCTCCGCATGTTTAGCCTGTGACATGTACCTGAGGAAGGACAGGAGCGTCAGCAGCATTACACACGAGATACCGGCTGCTTATCAAGATAGACACAAGCCTTTTATGCATCACTCAAGACCCTCCCTGCATTGGGCTACAATATAAGATACATGCACGATGGTTTCAATGTGAATGTTGCAATGAATATAACTTTCTTTGAGACCACAGTTCAGCTGCAGCATTTTTAGACTCCCCATCTGGCCCGTATTAGAGAATTCCAGGAAATACTACTGTAATTACCAACGTTAGTCATGAGAAAGACAATGACGAAGAGGTTAGAAGGGTAACAAACTCGCTCTCTGATACGGAGGAGGATTAGCTTCAATTGGATTGGATTCAGAACAAATCATCTGCTTTATTAAACTATGCTTCAGGCAGATAAAGTACAATAAATACATAAATATACTAGGCAGGAGGCAAAACATGTCTAACGTTAGCCATCATAGTTCAGATTGTGGCGGTGCAGTATGCGGCTAACTGGCTAAATGCTAACACAGCTGGATAGCTTCAACACACGTTTAGGTTAACAACGCAGTTAACCGCTATATTCTGTTAATGTAACGTTACATGTGAAGTATCTTTTCCGATAACGCATAAATACGGGTGCTTTGACTGTTGTAATAGAAGGTCTGTCATTAGTTGTGCTGCTAAACACGTAGCTAGCAAGCTACCTAGCAGTAGTTAGCAGTCCCATTACGTGATTATAGATTGACAGCACAAGTGTTCACACAAACCGACGGACCAAGATGAGTGGGTGGGTCCGCGGTGAATTCAGCCAATCACAAACGGACAGACGTGTAAGCAAGGTTGACAGTGGAATGATCTGGAACAGACAGGCCCCAAAGCCAAATGACAGCTACAACTGCACATATTAACACGAGACGAAGTCTTACCTAAAAAATAAAGTCCTGTACATCTGATGCGCTTCATAATAATCCCCCTTTTCTACACTGGCTCGCAGTTTTCCTTCAACCCTCTGTACGCCTCCACGGTTTCTGGCACTGGAGCACCTCAGAGACTCCTGCTCCGACATTGTTGCTCCGCAGCAGCACTCGAGCCAAGTGTTTTCAGTGGGAAACCGGAAAGCTATAAACAAAACAGACCCTCCTCGCTTGCCGTAGCCGGTGTGTTGCGGTTATTTGGTTGAGAGGAGCGTGAACCACACAGTTCATGAAACCTTGTGACGGCAACATGCCATGCACCCTGAAGGCAGCATCGTTATAAGGGGTTGGGGAAAATACAATTATTTTTTGGGTTAGTGAAAGATCCCGGTCATGGGCATGATCATCTGTCTTGATGAGGTGCGTTTTAGTTGTCTCCCCCTCGAGCCAAGCATTATTCATTCCCTATTATTCAATATAGGTGAAATATTGGTTAAATTAGGCGACACTATTCCGCGTGTCAGTTTATGCTCTTAAAAAAATCACAAAGGTGTTTTATTAATAATATGTACCTGCCATGTAGGGACAGTGTGTCAAAAACACGCACTATTTCGTACCATTTTAGCTGAATTCACACCGTGAAATACATATATTTAGCATACTGTCAAAGGTTTAACTACTTAATTTTAAATCATTCCACTGATTCGGTGTAACACTTGTAGAGCTGGGGCACCCACAACAGACTGATCAAATCCAAGAATGCAAAGAAATTACAGGCATAGGTGATGTTACAGAGCAAACTGCTGCTCCCAGGCCACGTCATGCACCATGAATGATGTTATAATAAAGACATGAAGAGATTAAGAGTTCTTTGAGAGTACTTGCAGAGGATTACAGATGATGGAAACATTAAAAAGGTCAAAGACAACCTTATTTAGTGTGGCTTTGTGGCACAAGGCAGTAAAACTGCCTGTGCCAAAGCACACTGTATATTATCCATTGGGCTTAATCATAATAATCATAAGATTTATCCTAAAGTTTGGCGCGCCTCTCCTCACACAGTGTTGCCAACAGCGCCGTGAAAAATACATCAAAACGTGCGCCTGATCGGGAATAGTGTGCTATCTGTTTTTTGGAGAGATTTGCTAAGCGGTTTTCCCAAAAATTCCCGAAAATCCACAAAAACTGAGCAAAATTTCTCCATTCACTTGAATGGGGTTCCGGCTTGAAGAGAGCTAAAAAAACACTTAACTTTGGGCCCATATTGACTAGCCATACATTAACGTAGAAACATGATTCAAAGTTTAAAACGTAGACAAAACGCTGCACTTTATTGAGCCAAAGGGACATTTTGATAGCTAGCACAGTTTTCATGAAGTCACAGATTAAGTTTCAGGAAAATTTTGGGTCTGTTTCAGATTTTATAATGGGTGTGTATTGCACGGCTCGTTAAGAGCCAGAGTGAGAGCATAACTGTCAGAGTGGAGCGGAGCTTGAAAATCTTCTGTGATTTTTACAAACAAATTGCTCTAGCTCCCACAATTTTTACTCTTGAAACACCATTTTGGCCAAAAAGCTTGGAAATGTTGTGCTGGTCGCAGTAAAGTGTCTATGGAATCCAACGGACTTACACATTTGGCTTAAAGAGCCGCAGAGTGACATGAACTCCAACCAACTGCTCCATTAGACTCCATGTTAAATCTCACCACTAATTTCTCAAAGAACGCAGACGGTACCAGTTTTGTCTATTGCTCTGGAGCTCACATTATTAACACCACAAACATAAAAAACACATCAGCGCGTTTGCCAGAGTCTTATCTTTCTCACGGTATCCATATTTTGGCACTCAGACTCCTGCTAATTTGTTAAAAAGAGGCATGGGTTTTTAAAATCACTGATTACTGCAACGTTTCGTAATCAGTCTGCCTCTAACACCAGGTGCGTGGCTCACCATGGCAACCAGTTACTACATGCAGGCAGGCTCTCTCTCTCTGTCTGTCTGTCTCTCTCTCCCACTCACTCAGTCCATCTAACTGTCTGTCTGCCTGTCTCTCTCTCCCACTCACTCAGTCCATCTAACTCTGTCTGCCTGTCTCTCTCTCCCACTCACTCAGTCCATCTAACTGTCTGTCTGCCTGTCTCTCTCTCCCACTCACTCAGTCCATCTGTCTGTCTGCCTGTCTCTCTCTCTCCCACTCACTCAGTCTATCTGTCTGTCTGCCTGTCTCTCTCTCCCACTCACTCAGTCCATCTAACTGTCTGTCTGCCTGTCTCACTCACTCTGTCTCTCTCTCCTCTGTCTATTTTTCTGTCTGTCTCTCTCTCCCTCTCTGTGTCTCTCTCTATCATACAGTTATTCAGGTCTTAGATATTTTTAGAGGACT